CATCCTGGAGCCCAGAGAGACTGCAAGGAGAAAAGGAGGGAGCAGCGAACGGATTGGTAAGATGCAGAGGTCAAAGGGTGCAGACAGCTGACCAACAGGAGGGACTTAGCAGGTCTCCCAATACAACAACAAACGGGATAAGCATAACTATTTTTACAGGGGTTCTGTCGAGAGTAACATGGTCTTAGAGTCCCGGATCAGAATTCGAAAACCACACACACTATTTGAATGCAAATATTCTGTGTATCATGCTTTAATCATTTTTCTATATCACTGCATAGGGACTGTTGTTTTCTTAATTTCTGTTTTTCAATTTAAAGGAAGAGCTCGCCAGCCAGCGTCGAACTTTGAGACAATGCAAAGAAGTCTGAAGCTGACCTGATGCTGATTATGACACATTTATTTTGAGACATGTGTTAAAATAACACATGCCTCAACAGGAGGGATGTAGATATAGAAATATTTTTCCAAATTGAACGATGGTAAAAGAAATTACTAAAAGAAAGATTTAGATACCGGAGGAGGAACACCTGGGAAGAGCACCAACACACCACTTTCAGATTAAGAAAAGGGACAGAAACCCCTCATTTAAATCCAAGCTAAAATGATTGAGATATACAAGCAAATACACATGGTTGATATTATTGTGAGAACAAGAGATCAAGGTTCTTGATTCATAATGTCCAAACATTTCCCTGATATAGAACTATACAGTAAATAGACATATTCACATTGAACATCTGGTCGGACGGTGAAAGAGATTCACCTTTCCGTTGAGTTGTACTTATTAAGATAACAGTATTGTCCAGATTAAACAAAACATAACTATAGACACAGTGAACAACAGACAGGAATGCATCACCAATAATTGATAAACTACATTAACCTAAAAGCCACATCAGTAGAATGGAAGCTATGGGAATACCTGGGGGTGTCTAATGAGTTTCAAGTCACACACTAGAAGACGCATCTCTACCCCTGCTGGAGCAGAGAGGGATGACACAGAAGAGGAGAGACCACCTGTCAACAACCTGAGCGGCGCCAAAGGAACCGTGAGCAGTGACCAAACAACCGTCATCTCGCTGAGAGGAAGGACGTTCTCAGCCCAGAGTCTGCTTGACCACCGTGCAGGACCAGGAGGAAGCATCAGGACCGACCACAGAAGCAGAACCAGCACCGCAGAGCCGGACCAGAAGCAAGACAAGCATTGTTCTAGGAGACCAGAAGCAAGACTAGGACCGATTCAGAAAGGGTCCAAGCAACATTCCAGTCTCCCTTTTGAGGGACAACACAGTTCCAAGACCACCTCACACTAATGGGGGACAACGACAGCCCAGCACAGACATAACCTCAGACCCATTTGGTCAAATCAGAGCCATCGATTTCCAGTACAGACACTTCCAAGTTTCCGATCCCCTCTACAAACACTGCCCCATGGACAACAACAACAACCATTTAGCACAAGAGATGCTGAAATGGTCAAGAAAACACCCTCACACACAAATGGAGGTGAACCACTGCTGAGAGTTCTCACAGAAGAACCAGCTGAGAACAGTGACATGGACAACCGCTTCTCAGGTTTATTGGACTCATGATTTAGTAAATACAAATAATTGTTAATTTCTATGATAACAGTCTCCATTATGGCCAGCATTCTATTCCTAGGTGTATGCTGTTGCAGCCTCTGCATTAGGACTCTTATCATTAGTCATCCAAGAAGACCAGCCCCATGATGCCATTAGGTTTTATTAAATTAACGTGTCCTGTATCAATTTATACTGTACACATGACATCCGTAATGAAATGTTAAATCCTGGGAGAAGATCTTTCAATCTCTCCGACAGATTTCTTCCTTGTTTTATTCCCAAAAAGGGTTTCGAGGGAGTTTTTGTTCTGTGCCAGGTACAAGTTAACAAGGTGTGTCCAGATGCACATCTTATGATTAGAATGTGTAGGATCAAGCGTGTCATATTGGATTGAACGTTATGCTAAACAAATAGAGACGACACATCTGACAAAACTGAGGAATTTGATGAACCGATCCCTCTGATTGGTTTTTACACCAAAATTGGTGTAAAGGGATGGATTGTAGGATATTAGAAACAAACTGACAACCCGGTTCATAAATTAATAAAATGCATATAGTGTAAACCAGAATACAGCCATGATTCTGAAACTGTGTAATCAATAAAGTAATGACAATATTGTAAAATCACTGTAAATCTGCAACTGTAATAGAATAACATCAATGTACAGTTATGATTGTATTTGATGTAATGTAATCAACTGGAATGCATGCATGTAATACTTGCACAACAACTGATATTGACTAAGGATCATTCGAAATCCGAGTTACATTGAACTCACCAGAAGACCACTCCCAGAGGTGTGGACACTGACTTTCACACCTTTAAGCACTGTTATAAATACCCGTAGGAACCAACAGTATCCAGAATCTGTTAATGCCATGCAACGTAAAATAAAAATAAAATATAAGTAGAAAAAAGTCTAGGAAGACACCTTAACAGGTTTAGCGTTTTGACTGTGTTTCTCTGCCCCTCCCTCCCCCCAAGTAGCTCAGTGTCCTCAGCTCAAAGCCACAGGCAGCTAGTCGTGTCCAACGCTGTAAACAAAAGAATGTCAACAAGTTGAGGCATGACGCAACCTCGGTGCCCCGTTCCAAATGAATGACAGAACCCCAGACAGGATTTACGGGGGTATTTTGAAGCAGATACCACCGAATGAAAGAGATGTCTCGTTTTAGGACGCTGCGGTCGGACGGGCTCGTTGTCACTAAAACAACAAGCGTCACAGTGAAAAAAAACACATTGTCGAGCTCATTGGAATTCCAGTTGGAATAAGCGCGTGACAACGCCCCCAAAACACCACGTTAGTACGGCGAATACGTGGATCACGTGAAGCTCAAGTTGAATTTTTGTGTGAACCTTTTGTTTATCCGGAAAAGAAGAACTCAACTACCCACTTACCAAAAGGTGTTGGAGGGGAGGTCACTGGAGAAACTGTTATCCATATTGGATAATCCTGACCACCCCCTCCACCACCTGCTACAGGGACAGCGGAGCACGTTCTCCAACAGACTCCTTCAGCTCCGCTGTCACAAGGACCGATACAGGAGATCATTCCTGCCCAGTGCAATAACACTCTACAATAAATCATCCCTGGCTAAATAATGACAATAATAACCCTGTACTGCTGTTATGTTGCTGCTCTTTCCTCTTCTCCTTTTACAAATTATTATTATTGTCTCTTTTGGAAGGTTATTCTTTTGTTTCAGTTTATTTTATTTAATTTAATATTCTAAATATTAAATTTATATATTAAATATAAAAATATAAATTAAATATTCTATTTTCTTCCCTGTACATGCTGCTGTAATACCAAAATCTCAAAAAGGGATCCATCCATCCATCCATCCATCCATCCGTCAAGAAAGTATCTGGCATTCACTCGAGGGGCGGAACTGAATGTTTCCAGAGAAAGCCCCCTATTGGTGTACAAGAACGTCAATAACAAGAATCCGAGTGCTCGATTGGTCAGTGGTGTTGAGTAAAATATTAAAGGCGGGGCCTAGTTTGTTGATCATCGTGTGATTGGATGAACGTGCATGCCTGTTACTACCCGGTAACAGCTGATTGGCAAAAACAGGAACAATACATGTTGCGACTACAGCAAGTACAGCAAGTACTTACAGTCACATTGACTTACATATTCCATATGCATTATTTGTCCTCTCTTTTGTAATTAAACCAACAGTTTCACTTTCACTAAATCATCTTATGAATGAACAAATTCTAAGGAATAAGGAATGAATGAAAGGCTTCAGTTTGCTATTCTATTCTTTGAAAAAATAACAATGTGACACACAAATATAAAAATGTTCTTTATTGACATGAAAAGTGAAACATAAAGTATGTCACGACCTGGCTCTTTGGGCCATGACAAGAGTGGAGTTGCACTGGTTTAACATATTCTTTATTTAGCATAAGACAATGAAAAATCGACAAACATTACAGATGAGATGTGAACGTCAGTATTATCAGTAGTGTAGGATGTGCATGAGGGTGGAGTGTAAAAGATGGGTGTTGTCAAGGGCATCTAACTAAAAGGAAACAGAGGATTCAACATGGCGGCTGCCCTACCACACCACCGGACATCTGCTGGAGAGAGAAGAGAGAGAATGAATGAATGAATACTGGGTTTTCTAATCTCAGTGCACCGGGCCCAGGTGCCTTCAATCACCAAACCTGAACCTGTAGTCTCAAACGTGATTCCGGCGTAGTCTATTTTATTCATCAGACACACAAATGTTATAGTGGATATTCACATTTGTAAGAAAAAGCTGTTTAAGTTGATATGGGGACAAACAGCCATGCAAGCCTCGTTTCTGTTATCTACCGTTTCTCGGTCCTTTTGTAAGAATACATGTTCAAGATTTGGAGCCCGGTCGGGGTTATCAAAAATTCAGCCGAATGACTTCTCTCGTTCTGGGAAATTTATTTGTCAGATCACAGGTCAAGTATCAGCGCTGCGTTTGCAAAGGCAGGAGCAGTTCAGGCAGCACACAGGCCGGAAGAACAACTCACTAACATCAGCAAGAACATCATGTTTTATAACCCTTGAAAGACAGAGAAGGAAAGATTTCTATTGGCCCTAAACTGGCGTAGAGGAGGACCTTCCACCTCCCGCATCTAAGATCCGGTCACATCCAATGTCCAGACTCCTGACTTGACGTAAACATCGTAAACAGAGTGTGTATGTTGAATAGTGTTGGTGTGTCTCTAAACCCCCCTTTGGCTGGTAAATCTTCTAGTTGACCCGCAGACCTTGCATTCCTCAGCCAGGACATAAACTGACTCCCCATCCTGTCAGACTCGTGTCTGCCTGCTTGGCAGATCCTGCTCCCCCCTTACCTAACTCTTAAATCAAGACAAGACAGCGAACCCCCAACTAAACCCATGAAAAGAACTTTTGATTATCACTTTGGAACTGTCTCACGCACTTTGTTGCTCAATCTCAGTGCTACTTCCAAACAGGGTCACCAGCTGCTCCTCATAGTTAGCTATGTTTCTCTTCATGATGTCCATGCAAGGACCCAGCAATGTCTCAAAGGCTTGGACGTCCATGGCTGACAATGAAACAAATAAAATAGGAGGATTCAGACATAATTCAAGGAGTTATAGAGAATAATGTAAAATAGTAAACGGTATACTGACAAGTTTATACTTGTTACGTCTCCCTTAGTCTAGGTGTAAGGGAGCGCAACCCCCGCAAACATGAGCCCTGATGAACGCGGCGACCAGAGGTATGGGGTCGTGGTGTGAGTGACGACTACTGGCACAGGCAAACGGTGTAAACAAAATAGGAGGTTTATTCTCTCCTTAAAAGGAAAAACCAAACAAATGTTCAGGGGAAAAGGGGCTGGGCGAGACCAAAGCAAAGAAACAAGCAAAAAGGGTGAACACTTCCCTAACTGACCTAATTTCCCCCCCCCCCCCTTTACTCTACCTCGGGCACGGATGAGGCCCGCTAACCAAAAGTACAGGGAGTGGTCCACCCAGGTCTTGCCTAGTGTATCTAGACAGGCAGTCAGCTACGGGTGTATACCCATGGGTCTCTTCCCTAACAATATCCCCCCCCTGCAACACAGGAAGAAAAATGTTTAACTCAAATAACAAACAGTATACAAAACAAATGTAACATACACACTAACCCAAAGAGCCCACGCTCTGGGACTACCTTTTAACAAACAAACTCTCTCTCTCTCTCTGAACAAGATACTCACAAACCCCAACGACGGAAATAAACACAGAACCATGAGAGAGGACACCAGCGAGCCACCAGAAGCGCTCTGCCATCAGAGCTGCAGAACCCTCCCTCAAAGATCTACAATGACAGGTCTTTATAGACCTGCACCAGCTGCATCCAATAATGAAGGGGAGGAGTCCAGGTCGGTCGTATCCAATCGGCTGCACCTTGGGTGAAGGGTAGCCATCTTCCCTGCAGATTTCCTGTACATGGAGAGACAGGACACAAACCAACACAAACACCCCCAAAACGTAACAATACTCAAGATGTAAAACATGAATGATCATAAAAATCCACAAATCACACCTAAGCATTTGACGCTTCCCACTGCATATGCTGATGCAGCTCTAGGCTTGTTTGTGATGAGCGCTAGCTCCCCGAAATACTGGCCCCTCATGCACGTGGCAATATCCACCTCCTCATCCTCCTGGTCTTTTTTCGTCTGGAAAGAAAGAAATGCACATTAAAACTTACACACAAGCACATTTAAAAAGAAATTCCCCCCATAACCGTAAATAGTAGACTGGGTGAACGTACCCTGCTTCTTTTCATGGTGATTCTAACTTGGCCAGACTCAACAATGTAGAAGCAATCTGCTAAATCAGCCTGTCGATCGAAGCACAGAAATGAGTATTTCAGCGTAAATGCTCCATTGCAGCAGAAAAGAAAAATGATCGATCCGAGGACAGATGATAAAGAGGTTGATCACCTGAGCAATAATCTGCTGCGAATCGCTGTAAATCTTGGTTGAAATGACGTCCACTACTTTCATTCTCTCTGAGAGCTGTGGATGGAAGGGTGTTTGGTAAACAATGGTTTTACTGTACATGCACGCTGCACTTTCCTCACACTGGAGAACAAAGCCCGTCTTACCTCTAAAGATGTAAGCAGTGGTAGCGTTTCAATGAACTCCTCATACAGCCTCCTTTTCTTGGCATTGTTCTTCACTATAATCCTCCGGAATGTCAGACGATACTGTAACAGAGTTTAAAGAAAATGAACACATGTTTCAAGGCCTCACTGCGTTTTTTCTTTTTAACATGAATTGTCCCTCGCTTTTCTATTCGGCTTAAATGTTTTTCTTCAAGCGTGTACTCAGGGCAACGTGATACTCTCAGTAGTTAACCTTCATAAGTAACAACCTGGGGTTTTTGTGGCACAGGGGGTAGATATGGTGTGCTGGGAAGCACAAGGTTGGTGGTTCAAGTCCTGACTGAACTAAAGCGTGCAAACAGTGTTGACATGGTGGTATTCAAATATAGCTGGTCATTTTTATATTCATGGGAATTGTAGATAACCTTTTCATGATTATAGGAGAAAAAGGGTGTATTATACCCACGCTCTGAGGCCATCTAGGTGGCGCTGTGGATCACTGGTTAGGAAAACAAAGGTAGTCAAATTAGTAAACAACTGCTCCAACATTGTGGTACAGTGGTTGGCAGAGTCATCTCTAGGTCCCAGGACTTGGTGTACTGGATATTAAAAATCCAAAAATTAACCTATATGCAACTTACATTCTGGACATCAGAGTTTAATTAAAGCTTTGTCTGTGGCTCAGTGGCATGTCAGGATCTCTGTCCCTCCTCGACCCCGGGGGATTTCAGATTCAAACACACAATACGAGCACCCAAGTGGATACGGCAGCCACCTGCCCGGTTCACTCACACACAACACAGGAAGTAACAAAGCTGTTACCTAGGGCTTAAGGAGAATATTGACAATAGCTGTGCCACAACTTAGTTAGTCAGATGTAATTTTTGTTGGGGGGGATTTCCGTGCAGGGAATAAAATTGCCTTCACCGTGACCTTTTGTCATCTCTGTGATGGTGTTGACAGCCCCAGTTTTCCTGTTTGAATAATCTACCTCAAGTACTGAACTACCCAAGTTCATCTCAGGCGTGTACCTGCTCAAACACTCAAGTTTAACCATGTTTGTCTAAACCAATCTGATAGCTGAGCTCTAAAGGGACACATTTTGGGATTTTGTCATATTTAGTTTACTCATTTATAGCTCTATTCTATGCTTTATCAAACACTTAATTTGAGTAAATAATTGAAAAAATCACATTAGCTTTTTGTTGCATTCAGTGGGTTTTATATTGCATATTATTTCCGTCGGACAGCATCCTGACAACTGACGACGCAGTTGGAAAACTTGCGTGGAGCAGACTGTGCTCTCACACAAGGATTTAAGGGTTTACTCACAAGGCACCAAAGGGCTCCAGGAGAGGTAGCAATTATTGTGGCTGCCCTGGGGGTGTTGTACATCAGCGCCAGTTCTCCAAAGCTGCCTCGGTTGTCATAGCAGCCTACCAGCTTATCCGTGCCATCGACCTTCACGAAGATCTTAAACGTCCCGCTGAATTAAAAACACAGAGGAAAAAATGAAAATATTATCACATGTCAGCAATAAGGGTTTCTCCTGAAATCTCAGCAGGGAACAATTATTTCACAGATTAAAATGTTTTAAAGTCAAACATAAAAGTCAATGATTTTGATTTTAAAATCACCTTTCAATAAAATAAAAGTTGTCTCCATCCTCGTCTTGATCGATGATGTGCTCCCCTTCAGTGCAGAACTTCTCAAACGTAGCATCCAGCACCTGAGACATCTCTTCCTGCGTTAGCGTGAAATATCATTTAAAAACATTTGAAAACAATCATGCAGAAGCCAACTAGTGGGCCGTCAGCCTCTGGCCATCTTCCCCTTTGTGTCATTTCAGAGATGGCAAAACAACAACCAGAGGAGAACACAGTGCTTATGGAACGATCCGCTCACCGGATCCAAATTCTTGAAGAGAAGAATGTCCCAACATGCTTCCTGTAGTCTCAGTCTCTGGTCATCGGTTTTGGGGTGGATGACCTGCAAATTGAAGCGCAGGTCTTTTGGCATGAACTCCACATTGCAGCGCAGACAGAAGATTGTGTATTTCTTTCAGTTTGTATTCAGAGCTTCAATTCATTGTGTCAAATTCCACCCCAGCACTCAGACAGAATCTTCAGTTTACCCATGGCTCTTTATCCTCACCGTTGTCATCGGGATTGAACGCTTCAGCACAAACTGCATGACAAAGATCAACAAATGAATGAGCAGTTGTTACATATGGGGCACACTTTTATTTGAATAAACAAGCTTACAGGACTACTTCCCAAAATAAAGACATACTTGTTTACCATTCATTTGTATGGCACTACCAGCACTACCAGGATAGAAGAAGCACTGGTCCACAAGTGTTTTAACAAACTCTAATAAATCAACAGTATTTTAGCTAAATGACAAGACCAAAAAAAACTCTTTCATGACAACTTAAAACAGCCAGAATGACAGAACTCACTTGAGGCTCTTCTGATGAATCTGTTTGTTACCGGGGCTGCAGAAGCAATATATATAAGAGATATATATCAACAGGTTAGAATGAATGATGAAATAAATCTATGTCACAGTGACCGATGCATTTCTGAAAAGGGTTATTTTAAAGTCCTGCGCTCTCCATAGTAGGCCTGCGTGTGGAGTACTACTGCTAATTAAGGAGCCATGTTAATGTGGGTAAAACCCGAATAAGGAGTGCTGCTTTGAAACGCGCTTGATTGACAAAAACATGCAAATGTGTAACCCAGGTGAGCTCCAACATAATAGCCTGGCTATGAAATATAACTTAGATAGGAGGTCTCATCTGTTTGACCTATTTTAAATTGTTTGTAGTAATATTGGTAGTAGTATTAGTTATAATTGTGGTATTAGTAGTAACAGCAGTAGAAGTAGTAAAAGTAGGTTTAGTGTCAATAGCAGTAAAAACAGCTGTAATACTAATACTATTAGCCATAGTAGTATTTGTAGTAACATTAGTAGTAGTTGGAGTATTAATACCTATATAAATACTGGTAGTACTGTTTATGATAGTTGTAAGACTACTTAAAATACTAGCAGTAGTGTTAGTTATGGTAGTAGAAATATCAGTTGTAGTAGTACTACTCGAAGTACTAGTAATATTCGTAGTGGTTGTAGTATTCAACTTAATATTTCAACGAAACCGCTTCATTCTGAGCTTCATGGTTAAGGTACAGATAATCATTGAGGCTTTTATTTTGAAATGATGGAATTGGGTGAGGGGGGGTAGATAGAAGGAGGGAGGGTGAGAGGGTGAGGAAGGAGGGGTGGTGAGGAAGAGAGAGAGAGAGGAGAATTAGACAGACAGACTGACTGAGTGATTTATTAACAGTGAGTAGAGGTCAGGGTGGAGGGGGGGGGGGGGGGGGCTTGTGTCTTCATCATGTTGGTCTGTTGACAGAAAGCATAGCTGCATCATGTGACTCTACTAATCAGTTAATAGGAGCTGCAGGGGGGTCAGAGACATAGATACTGCAGCGTGTGTGCGAGTATCCACGGCAACGGCGCACCTGGGTTCATTAACGAGCTACTGAAAAGGGCGACGTGGCGCAGGGGTAGAGAGGGTGTGCTGGGAACCGCAAGGTTGGTGGTTCAAGTCCCAGCTGCCCCATGTCCCATGTCAAAGTGTCCCTGAGCAAGACACCTAACCCCTAATTGCTCCCCAGGCAAAAATGTAAAATGCTATGGGTTAAAATGTAATGTAAGTTGCTTTGGATAAAAGCGTCAGCTAAATGACCTGTAATGTAATGTAAAAGTAATGAAAAGCACAGAGACAGGACAGCGAGTTACACAGAATCCACACCTCAAACAAGTGTCCTCTAGCGCAAAACTATAACAGATAGCTAAAAAATAAGAAGTATCTTCAAGACTCTACCGAACGCAACGATGTGATTTTTATGTCTGTCCGGTAATAAATACGGCTCCTGTCGCAGTTTACAAAACGTGTACCTTCTGGATTTTTTGAGAAATATGTCGGCAGATTTGTATTGGAGCCTATGGGGCTTTTGGCAGAGGTTGTGTCACTGTAACACTCCTGCAGCCAAAACTAAAGAACTCTGGGATTCAATAGCCACATTAATCCAATCAGCACAACCATGCCATCATTAATCAAAAGAAATTAAGCCTCAAAAGTGTATACTTTGGCTGGAAAGACCAAAGTTCCATATTTTTATAACCAGATTCTGACGCTGCTCTACACTCTAGCTCTCCAGCTCTCACTCTAAGAAACGCAATACACACTAATGTAAAAGTCAGAAACGGAGCGAAGAACTAATGAAACATAATCAGTGATTATGAAAAAAGTAGAATAGATATCAAAAAGGCAAGGCAAGGCAATTTTATTTGTACAGCGCTTTTCATACACAAGGCAGACTCAAAGTGCTTCACATCATAACATTTCATACAATAAAGTGAAATAAAATGCAGGAATTAAAAGACAATTAAAAACAGCAAATAAAATGATAAATTAAAATCTTATTTAAATTATTTAATTAAAGGCAGAGGTTAAAAGTGCAATGTAGGTAAAATTTAGCAGAAGGCGAAGCTGAACATAAAAGTTTTCAGTCTTGTTTTAAACGTGGTCAGAGTTGGGGCAAGTCTTAAATCTTCAGGAAGTTTATTCCAGCTGTTTGTTGCGTAGTAACTGAATGCTTTCCCATGATTTGTATTTACTCTGGGAATCACTAACAGATTGGTGTCAGAAGATCTTAGTGATCTTGAAGGCTTATGTAGTGGAAGCATATCAGTGATATACCTTGGCCCTAAACCATGTAGTGATTTATATGTGAGCAGTAGGATTTTGAATTCTCTGACATACTAGGAGCCAATGTAAGGATTTAAGAATTGGTGTAATGTGCTCACATTTTTTGGTCTTTGTTAGAACTCTAGCAGCAGCGTTCTGAACAAGCTGGAGCTGCCTGACAGTTTTTTTTGGAAGACCTGCAAGGAGACCATTACAATAGTCTAGCCTACTAGTTATAAAGGCATGTACAAGTGTTCCTAAGTCTTGAGCTGACATGAGCCCTCTAAGTCGTGCTACATTTTTGAGGTGGTAGTAGGCCGATTTTGTTACTGATTTGATGTGACTCTCCAAGTGTAAATCTGAATCCATAATAACCCCCAGATTTCTGGCTTTATTTGATGTTTTCAGGGACAGAGAGTGAAGGTGTTGGGTTACTTTAAACCTTTCTTTTTTAGCACCAAATACAATGATCTCAGTTTTGTTCTCTCAGCTCCTCTCCTGGTCGGGGGCAGAGGACCACTGATAAACACCTCAGCATTCACAGAGCTGACTGTTTCTAGGAGATTATCGAAGTGCTCTTTCAACTTTTCTGATTGTTGTTTTTCAATGTCATTAGAGCCAAAGTGCAGAGTTAAATTTTTCACAGTTGGGTGTTCAGCCACAATTTCCAAAATTCTTTCTTCCAAGTCAGACACCATATCCTTCGGAAAGCAGAGTACTTTGGTGGCATTACTACTTTTCATATCTTTTACAGAAAAATCACCCACAATCAGATTTTCAGGTCTTGTCAGCTTTCTCTGTGGCTTTAAGTTAGCAGGTCTTACCCTGCTGCGTGGTGGTGGAGGGTTATCCAGAAATTTAGAGGGGGATCGATGGTCCTGCAACAGTGGAGCAAACCTGTTTTGTAGTTTTACACCTGTTTGCTGGGGAGGTTTCTTGGTAGTTCCCCTCTTCTCAGTGGTCCGCTGCTTTGTTCTACGAAGCACGGGGGTTGAGGAGGCGTTATGCCTGGATGGTAACGCAGGCCAGTCGGCCAGTTCACAGATATCGGGCCGCTGGGTCCTGCCAGTTATCCGTTCTCCCTTGTCTGGTCTTCTCTTTGGCTTTGCACCAAGTGTGGTCCAGGGAGGATTATCGCTGGTAGATTTATTACCCTGTACAGAGTCCAGTTTCTTCATAGTTCCATCATTGCTAGTTAGCTGGGTTCTAGCATGCTCTTGTCCACTGTTTTGAGTCATTGGTAGAGTGGTGTTGTTCCCACATGGTCCATTTACTTCTACATTTACTTCTAACCGATTAACTTTTGTTTCCAGCAGTAAAATCTTCTGTACGAGTTTGTGGTAATCTTCCGTAGACAAGGGAGGCATCTTCTGCTAATTACCTTTAGCACTGTAGTACAGGCTCAGGCTTATGTTGTTTGGTAGGCCTCCTCGCGTAGCGTTGAGGAAGTCGTAAAAATATTGAAAAATGCCTGTTTTATCTAAAAGAAAATATAATCCCACTGGTTTTGTAAGTATCCAGGAGCTCCTGCTCTTTGTTTCGTTAAGAGATTGCCGTTGCCAGAGGTGAAAATAAGTGAAGCTTAAATGAAGCTTGATCCGAGTGCAATAATCCACATTTAGTTGCTTTTGGTTTTAAGAAGCTTGACGGTGCTTCTTCACTCAGACTTCGCATTAAGCCAGTGTTTCCTCGCATTAAGCCAGTGTTTCCTCGTGGAAAAAAAAAGAAAAAAAAGAAGAACAAGCAGTTTTTATAAAATAGTTGGGACTATATAGTTCCTCTCTGGGAACCGTCACCTTATCGTGGTGGAGAGGTTTGTGTGTCCCTATGAACCTGAGGGCTGTGTTGTCGGGAGCCTTGTGCTCCTGGTAGGGTTACCCTTGGCAAAGTGGTCTCAGGCGAGGGGCCAGACTAAGAATGGTTCAAGACCCCCATGAAAAAACGGAAGAGGGAAGGAGTTATCCGGCCCGGAGGAAGCCCGGGGCCCCCATTTGGAGCCAGGCCCAGATGGAGGGCCCGACAGCGAGCGTCTGGTGGCCGGGTTTACCGCGGAGCCCGGCCGGGCACAGCCCGAAGGAGTGACGCGGCAGCCCAACACTCTACTCCCCATGGGCTCACCACCTGTGGAGGAAACCGATGGGGTCGGGTGCGCTGCTACAAGGGTGGCAGTGACAGTGGGGGGTCTAGATGCTGGCTCTGGGGACGTGGAATGTAACCTCTCTGGGGGGGAAGGAGCCGGAGCTTGTGCGGGAGGTGGAGCGTTATCAGTTGGATCTGGTGGGGCTTACCTCTACGCACAGCCTCGGCTCTGGAACCACACTCCTGGATAGGGGGTGGACTCTATTCTACTCCGGAGTGGCCCATGGTGTGAGGCGCCAGGCGGGTGTGGGGATACTCATAAGTCCCCGGCTGAGTGCTGCTACATTGGAGTTTACCCCAGTGGACAAAAGGGTCGCCTCCCTACGCCTTCGGGTGGTGGGGGGGAAAACTCTCACTGTTGTCTGTGCATATGCACCAAACAGCAGCTCAGAGTATTCAGCCGTTTTGGAGACCCTGAATGGAGTCCTGCATGGGGCTCCAGTAGGGGACTCCATAGTCCTACTGGGAGACTTCAATGCGCACGTGGGCGACGATGGAGATAACTGGAGAGGCGTGATTGGGAGGAATGGCCTCCCTGATCTGAACCCGAGCGGGTGTTTGTTACTGGACTTCTGTGCCAGTCACGGATTGTCCATAACAAA